AACATGAAAATAATCTTGTGAACTCATAATTACTGAACTAGGTCTACATCCTTAGTCTTCAAAAAGTGGTACTTTGTTTAATATACAATAAAAACTAAGTATTTTGAACTACTTGTCATGATAATCTTTAACCACTGCCATTTTCTTGATGTTAATATTATATACATTTACTATATTTTTGGTTTTATAAAAGTAATGTTTTTATGAATAGTTTTCTTTTTGATTACCAGAAACTGTAAGTTCAAAACCTGAATATTCTTTTTAAAGTCCCCTTTTCCAAATCACAGTTACAATAAATGGAGTCTGAATACTGAAAATATAACCTCTAATCATCTTGAGTAAATTGCCAAACGGTCTCATTATTTATTTACCGAGTATTACCCTTACCAAGTATTAATACCATTAATCGATATTGTATTGTACTGTACTTCTTATTCTGGATATGTTAAATTTACAACATGTTCCATCCTATTTTTATTATAAAATCTTGCAGTCAAATGAAAATGCTGAACTATATATTTTCTTAATACAATTGCAAAGAATATAATATTCCTGCAATGGGAATTAATTTAAGCATTTCCCAGTGAGGTTGCATAATACATTTCCTTGAATTTATAATACATTTCCTTAAATTCTTAGTAGTTTCTTATTTCTTCATAGGACTGAACATAGGAGGATGACAGTATACAGAGCTGAAAAGAAAAAAGAGAAAATGCTGCTATAGTAGCATAAGCTATTCCATGTGGTAGTGTGGTAGCTATTCCATGTTAAAAATCTGCATATTCAATCCCTGAAATGATATATCATTTGTAATGACATCTTGAAAGATACCAGAAAAAACTTCATATCAAAATGATAGGCTCAAATCACAACAAACCAGCTTTGTTTCCTTCACTCTGCTTAGCGACTGATTGCAAATGACTTTATTTCTCTTGGCTGCATTTGACATCTCCTCTGGGTCACACAAGCAAGGGCATGCCACTTTTATGCTCAAAGAACCCTTTCATTTATGGGTTTACTTTAAATAATGTGCAATTGACCTTTCTGTTTGCATGCATGATTAATAGTGTGCAGGCTGTGATGAACCAAAGGGGGACTAAAGGGATCTTGTCTCTCTCCCTCTTAAGAATACCACAGTACAACACCTACTTTTCTTGATCATCTAATTTCCATAGACATTCATAAGTGACTGCTAGAAAGGAAAGAAAGAAGTAAAGTCAGGTGCTATCAAATGAATAGCCTCCTTAACCCTTTCTATGGATCCACCTAAAAACTACAGTTTCTGTTTAATCATCCTACCATGAATCATTCTGAAATAAAAATGTATTCATTATTTATTTATTTTTTTAGAAAAACTCTCCCCCTTCTCCATCACCAGAATTGTTGAGTTCCTACAATGATAGATAGGATGTTTTTGAACAAGTAACTGTAGGGCACATGATTAACTGCAATTAACAGGTTAATGCTTCATAACAGGAAGGTTTTTTTTACAAAAAAATGGAAAAGTCAACCTAAATAACATGCACTTGCTTTAGCCAAATGTTATACTGACCCCTTAAGTCTCAGAATTCACATACCACAACAATTGGTTGTTTCTTTCCAGTGATACATGAATGGATAAAAGTATATGTTTTATGTTTAACATACCCGAAACCACCCAATCATACTATTTTGGGAGAGAAATTTGCTTGTGGTAAATCTGAAGAATTAGAATTGACCTTTAAAGGTTTAAGTTATTTGGAATCAAAATATCATTACATTTTTTCCTTCCTATACAAGCCTAGGCATTCACTATCCCTTTCCCTTTGAGCAATGTATTTTTGACCATAGCATTCAACCTCTGCAATTGCTCTGTCTTGACTGTATATTTTTTATTTGGTTGAGTTCTTGAGCATTTTTGCCCAAACATATATCCACTATCCTTATTCAATAACAATAGAAATGGAGGTTGGGCAGTTGTAGTGACTAAATATACAGAATGGTGATTATTAAAGTTAGATGACAGGAATGTTTAGTTTTTAATCCTATTAGCAAATTTAGGTAACAAGGCTATTAGAATTTATAATTCTATAGATTAATTCTATATGATGGCCTTTTTTTCAAGGTAAGTAGAAGTTAACGTGGCTGGGCATTTCTTAAAGAGTAGCTTTCAACTCTCTGGAAGCCTATATGTCACAATTGTTTGACAAGTACATTCCTCCTCATATTATCTCTAGCCCAAGGCATCCTGAAGATGGCTCTAGATATCCCAGTCTGGACATGCTGTTTTGCACATTAGGTATGATGTTCCTTGTGGACAATTTAGGACATTGAAGAGAAGGAGAAGGAGGTTTACCCAGCGGATGCAGGAGAATTGCAATGACACAATTCCTTTATGTTCAGTCATGGACTGAATGTATTAACTATAGGATATGTATTGTACATGTGTGTATGTGTTCAGTTGACTTATTTGCATTTCACATTTCCCAGTTTCAACTGACTGGACCTTGGCTTCTGCAGTCTCTTTATCTCCCAGGTTTTCAAGTTGATTTTAATTACATTATGTATACTTTGCTGTATATAACTATATTTATTCTTATTTATTAATCTAAATTTAATCTATAAAATAATTGAAGAAAAACAATGGAGTAAGCCTTGCCTATATACACCTATACATGTTTTCTGAAATATCATCTTTTCAAGAACACTGATTTAGCAACTTATCTGCTGAGTGTGGTGTCTACACACTGGGACAAGGAAACTATGTACATGAGCGTTTAGTTTTTCTTCAAACACTGCTTTGCTTGGCTAGATGACAACTATATTATCCCAGAAAAACTGGGTGTATATTCCATAATATTGTCAGTGTTTTGGAGGATGCTGTGCCTTCTCCTTTTTTTTTTCTTCCTTTTGGTGGCTATTTTAATAAAACATACTTGGCAAGTACATAATGGAATTTGAATGTGTGCCTTTAAGAAGGATGGAAGGTTAGTGGGGGCTTCTTTTAGCTGGGACTACAGAGACATTCTGGGATTCTCTGATATATTGTGATGTTTAATCACTCTCAAAGCATTTAATTTTTCAGCACCAGTGTTACCATGGAGGCTATAAACTTATGTTGTGTTGTTCTGCCATTTCTACTTGTGTGTTCCTTCTTTCACACATTATAAATAGCATCTTTTCTGTTAGAATAATATTGGCATATTCCTAGATACAGTATAATTGGTATCTTATTTTACTTTACTTTTAAAGCTTATACATCCCATTTCCAACTAACAACAACTAGTAATAAGAACAGAATTAAAAACATATTTGAAAAGTCATTAAAACACCATTGTATCATACCTTCAGCAACCAAAGAAACTTACATCAAATATATCACTGCTTAAATCCAAAATATATTAACATTTTAAACAAATAAGCTAACATCCCATTCAAAATAAATGCAGGATAAATTCAAACATATTGACTAAATTCTTTCACCATGCTTGAAAGCAACAAAACAAGGTTTACCGTATTTTTCAGACTATAAGATGCTCTGGACTATAAGACTGTTTGCCACCACCACTGCAGCCCATTCTAGAATAGCTGATTCACACTGCACCAACCGCCCGTCCCCCGCTGCAATATTCACTGTATAAGATGCACAGACATTTCCACCCACTTTTTTAGGTGGGAAAAGTGTGTCTTATACTCCAAAAAATACAATAATTCCTAATTATGAGTAGAAATTATGATTTTCTCAGAAGAGTATTATAACCAAGACTGTAAGGCTGGTCCAGGGCCTTGCACTAGTAGTAAAAATGATTAATAAGAACATATATAAAACAGAAAATTCAAGAAGTACCTATTCAGGGAATTAAAAAAAAGTATCTTTTATGATATAATATTTGTCTTACTGTGCCTAATTGTAGATCGGGCCCTACAATGCGAGTACTTTTGGTAAGATGTAAGATAGTCATTCTAACTTTCTAGTTTTGTGTCCAGATTTTATATTGCTCCCTGGTAATATTCTTTTTCTGATTACATTTATAGCTAATTTTACTTTCTCAGATGATTGACACTGCTTTCTTTGTTTGGCCTGAAAAAATTGCGTACTTATAGTTTAATATCAGTTTGGTTTCACACCAGATGAGATGAATAGAGCATAGAATTCAGAACATCAGCAGGATTTTATTTAATGAATTTGGGAGCTGATTATCAACAGTGAACATAGCAATAATAAAATTTTAAAACAATTTGTCTAACTATAATATAATAATGATTATTATTATTAATTATTATTATTATAACTATAATAATGAAAGTTCTAAATGCAATGTCTGAATACCTTTATTATTAAATTTCAAATATATATAAATATTGTTTGACCCTTGCAATGAAATTTTTCAAGAAAATAAATTCAGTGGAAAATTTATTTCAACTTTATTTCTATGTGCAATTTCTAGCCTATTATTAAATGGCAAGAAAATGGCAGATTTATTCTGGTCTAGTGGTTATTTGGTCTAGTGGTTAAGGCATCAAGCTAAAAACCAAGAGACTATGATTTTTAGCCCTGCCTGAGGCATGAAAGCTGACTGAGTGACTTTGGGCCAGTCACTCTTTTTCAGCCCATGATGTCAGGCATGGGTGACAAGCCCCCCAGTCAATTCTCTTCACAACCAACATTTAATTGATGTGAAAAAAAAGCAGTACTACTGTACTTGTGGGAAAACACTCGGAGAAAAAAACAATCTAGCCATTAAACAATCTCTCTCTTTCTCCCTACACACAGAGTGACACACAAACACAAAAGATCAATGTAGTCCTTTAAATATACATTTTCTTTACAGTGGAATTGATTTTCCAGTAATTTCATCACTGTATTCAATTCTACATCCTTTAAAAATCATCCAAGGCCATGTAGCTATTTAGCAGGAGCTAAAGTACAATAAAATATGTCATTGCCTTTGTTACAGCCGATTAACACTAAGTCTGCCATAATTACAGTTTCAATTAATTTGGTTCTTAATATCTTTCAGCTGTATAGTTCTATGGATTTTGGAAGAAGATGGCAGATCATGCATGAACGGATCACACCAAACCGATTTTATTGGTGAGTTTCTTGCTTTGTATTAAAACTGAATATTCATTGTATAGCATACTAGGATTGTATACTATTACATACAAGATTTTTTTTTGAATGTATTATCTTGTTAGATTGTTTTGTCCAGAAGGGAGGAGTGTCCCTATTTAGTTTCCTATTAATCTTCCATCTCACCTTGGTTCCAGAAGTATAGAATTTATTGTGCTAGCTTCAGGATGATTTTGGAAGAATGAGGTATTGAGTAAATTATACTTTTTTTATCAAGAGGATGCATGAGTTGAAAAGCTTTTTCTTTCTCTAAAATGACCTCTTCCTGAAAGGAAGTTGATTTCTTTTCAGATAACTCAAAGATGTTAGCTCATGGTTCATATTATTTGTCCTAGATCTTATTTAGGAAAAGAAACTTCTACATTTTCAAATACTCCATCATAACTATTCCCCTAGTATTGTTAGTGAAATTCTATCTTGGGGAGAAAGGAGAAAATGGATGTTCTGCTGTCTAAAATTTAAAGGTATAGAATTGTCATGCATTTTTTTTTGTTTTCTTTTCTACTTCATAGTTGCCTTTATTCTTTTTCATGTTTTCCTAACTAGTTGTCTAAAGGAAATTTAGTTATAGAAGTAAGCCTTTGTAACCTCAAAAGAAATGCAAAGAAAATATAAAGAAACAACTGCAAGGCTCCGCATGTATTAGAAATAGGTATAACTGAACTGGTGAATCAAAAGGTCCTATGCCTATGGCTGATTTTTGCCTCATTGCTTTTGTTGAAGAATGTGAACAAGTGCAATATAGGAGATTTTTTAAAAATAAAAAGTCTAATTTGATATGTAAAGAGAATTTCAAAAATGGATTGAGTTGTTTTCAGGAATAGAACATTTGTATTCAGTCAGGCTTTCAAATGAAGGAATAATCATAGGGATATATCAAAAGTGGTTTTTATTTTTTGAAAAGGCAATTGGACTGATACATTTTATTTTATTTTCAAAAATAAAAACCACTTTTGATACAACTAAGACCTGGAGGACTGAAAATCCTCAGAGACATTCAAATAGGGATAACTCTTGTTAACTTGGATCCCTTTGACCACTAGAATATCTTCCTCTGAGTAGATGCTATAAGCTTAGAATTAGAATAGAATGAAGCTAGAAAACCCTGGAGGTCTTCTAGTCCAGTCCCCTGCTCAAGCAGGAGAAATTATACCATCTGAGATAAGTGACTGTCCAGCCTCTTCTTAAAAACCTCCAATAATGGAATGTTTGTTCTCCAATGAGACTGGTTAAAAGGGCAACTTGGTCTACCCAATTATGGGACAGTGCATACTGCTTCCATTTTCATCTTTCAGTCAGGGGACTTTTCAAGCAGTCACTTTCACAACAAACTATTTTTGTATTAAATTTATGTTTTACAAACAAAGAAATCCAGTGATGGAGTACCCGTGATTTCCACTGGTTAATTGTTCCACTGGTTAATTGTCCTCACTGTTAGAAAGTTTCTCCTAAATTCCAGGTTGCTTCTTTCTGATTAGTTTCCAATCATTATTTCTTGTCCTGCCCTCTGGTGCTTTGAGAATAATTTGACCCCCTCTTCTTTGTGGCAGCTCCTGAAATACTGGAATATTGCTATAATTCTTCTTTTCTTTAGACTAGCCAGACCCAAAATCTGCAGCCGTTCTTTATATCATTTAGTCTCCGGGCCTTTGATCATCTTAGTTGTTCTTCTCTGAACTTTTTCCAAATTTCAACATGTTTTTTTTGTAGTGACCAAAATTAGTTTCAGTATTCCAGATATGGTCCTACTAGGGTTTTGTAAAGCAGGTTTAATACTTCACATACTCTTTATTCTATCCCTCTGTTTATACAACTCTGTTGTATTAGCTTTTTTGGCCACTGCTGCATATTGCAGTGATCATCCTCTAGGACTCCAAGGTCCCTCTCACAGTTACTATTTTTGAGCCAGGTCTTGGCTAATCCATACTTACACCTCTGATTTTTCCTGCCTAAATGTAAAGCTTTGTTTTTCTTCACATTGAAATTCATTTTGTTGGATAGGGCCTATTGTTCAAGTTTGTCAAGGTCTTTTTGGATTCTGAGTTTGTTTTCTGGGATGTAGGCTATTTCTGCAGCTTGGCTCAAGCAGACAGGAATGGTCTGATGGATCTGGATGATTTCCTGAATGTGTTTGGGGAATTATTCACATAGTGGCTCAACTATGCAGTTGTTACCAATTTTAATTTTATTGCTATTTTTAATTTGCATTTTAAAATATCTATTTTACTGTGTCATAAATGTTACTAGCTGGTTTAATTTGTCAGCCTTTAATTTTAATAAGCTATTACTAACATTAACCAAAGAATGTGTTGACAAACCATGGTTAGTTAAAAAAAGAAGGTGCTTTTGATCTTATGGCTAGAAAAAGCAAAGGAAGAGTGCATTAAAAAAATGAAAGCTTGGGCATTACCGTCAAGTTTAACCACTATGTAAATTGCTTTGAAATGTCATGAATTTTCTTGCATTTCCAGATTTAGTGGAAATAACTCTTGGGTTTGAATGACAACATTAAATACAATTGCTTAAGCCATTTAGAGAGTCTGATATATTTTTTAAAAATAATTTTATTGTATACTAAACAGTGCTACAAAACATCTGGAGCTTTCCTATCACTGACTTTAAAGAGTTCTCATATTTAGCAGATTGAGTAGAATGCATACTGTATACTAAAAATGGTTTCTTATCATGGCAAAACAGACAAGACTTTTCTCTACTTATTTTGAATGTGAGCCATTTTGTATAGTTCAGTAACATTCCATTAAAGATAAGGAGATTCTTCTTTTATCCCTTTTCCCATTGGAAATTAACCAACTCTTTTAAGATGACTATACATCAGCAGCTATATGAGGCAGAATCTATTCTCAGCAAGAAGAGAAAATTGAAACTCCTACTCTTTTGTTTCCTGGGATTCCCCAGAGTCTCATCTTTAGAAGAAGCTTAGTTTAATTTTGCTGTTATTAAGCAGAGGAGACGTGAGGTTACAGGAGAATTTCAGATACACAGACTATGGTGTACCATTGTTTCTTAAATAAAGTAGGTTATTTGATTTACAATCGAATACTTTTCCGTCCAACATAACAGGTTTTGCCATTAATAAGATAAAAGTTCTCCATGTAAAATTATATATGTCTTGTCCGTAGATTGGCGTGCAGAATGATTAATTGTTGCTGTAAGTGACATCTTTTCCCTGAGAACTTGTGACTCCAAAAGTAACTCCTACACATTGTGCCTGTGAACAAGTGTCCTATCATGCCATTTTCATTATTTTAAGCTGACATATTGCCAGGCAAAGTTCTTTTGAAGAATGATTTTCTATTTCAAATAAGTATTCTTAATTTTATTTTATTTTTTAAAATTTAGTATTTAATTTAAAATACAACTATCTGTTAAGAAACCAAAAAAATACAAGTATAATATGGAATCCCTGCAGGAAAGTGAACTACATAGGTGGTAGAGGTCATTTTTGTAAAATAAGCTCTCACCATTATAATTGGGAAGCTCTAGATAATGAAATATATGCATGGAATTAGAATTCAACATGATTTTGAAAGGACATGAAAATTGTAACCTTCATATTCACCCAGCTTGTTTACTGTAAATTGTTTATGAAATTTCTAGGTCATTAAACTCTAATCTCCTTTGAAAGCATATCAAAAGTACTATCATATTCTATAAATTAAAGGATTATGAATCACATTTCAGATACATGGTTTAAATATATTTACATGTATACATGAAAAATGAATGATTAAAAAAATATGACATCTAGTTTCTTCAGCTGGAAGATTGAATTAGTGATGAATACAAGGGTGATTGGAGATTCTAAACATGGAATAGACCACATTTAAACCAGCATCATGTGTAGTTAAATATATTGCACAATGTTTAGGAAAAAAAATTAAATGGGTAATCAAAAAGATAAGGAAGACTTGAGATTAAAAGAGAAAAACATAGCTTTAAAAAAAGATTTTGAAAATGGGTAGAAAAAGCTGAACAAGGAACTTCTAACCAAGTAATAAGAATTAATCATGAAGATGAAAATGTTTTAATTGTTTTCTATCTTTTTCTTTCTATTCTTTTTTTTCTTATTTTCTTTTTCTCTCTTACATTTATGTATGTGTTGTTGGTCTATTTTAATTGTAAAATCAATAAAGTGTATTAAAAAAAAATTAAACATGAATGTGTGAAAATGATTTGAGGTTACATTTGAGGTGGGAATGATGGAAAAAGTATTTTAATGATCTGTATGGGTTTGACAGAGACACATCAAATAATGGAATCAAAACAAATGAATAAATGTTAATATCTAAAAAAAAGTCTGATTAAACGTAACTCATAAATGCTGTGACAACTGAAATTTGGTGAAGCTGCAGCTGTATCTGGGAAACTGTTAAAATATGGATGTTGCTTATTTATAGAATAGATGTACAACATATTTAATGTGTGTATGAAGACTGAATATGACAGTTCACTAAGTACACTTACAGTAGGAATAAATGCAAAACCATAGGGGCATTGGTTTGTTAAATGTGACTGTAAATTTTTGATTGAGAAAGTATCATTGGTGATAATGAACAAGAATTTGGAAAGTTCAGAAATTTTATTAAGCTTGTTGATTTATATAATATGGACTTGAAGGTGGATTGCTGAATACACTATGAGTACTATATGATGGAAATGAAATGGAAAGTTTAAAGTATCAATTATAACAGAGCATGGGGTAACACAATATTGCTGTTTAATGTCTGTATGGATAAAAATATAAGATGTTTATGGTGACATTAGAGCTGTGTTTGTTGGAACAGAAATATGTATGCACTCTAGACCAGTGATCCCCAACCTTTTTGACGCCGCGGCCCGGTACCGGCATCAGCTGGGCGCCGCGGCCCGGTACCGGCATCAACTGGGTGCCGCCATCTTTTTTTGACGAAAAAGTGCTTCCGGTGAGCTTTCTACCCGGA